GTAAGGACTGGTTTGAGTAGTTGAAATTTCTCCCTGGCTGCGATGTAGATACTGGAGACCCACTGTGTCTCCTGTGACTACGCTCATTCAGGGATGTGACTGATTCAGATTTATGAGGGAGGGACTGGCTCGAGGAGTTGAAATTTCTCCTTGGCGGTGGAGAAGATACTGGAGAACCACTGCGTCTCCTGTGACTTCGCTCATTCAGGGATGTGACTGATTCAGATTTATGAGGGAGGGACTGGCTCGAGGAGTTGAAATTTCTCCTTGGCGGTGGAGAAGATACTGGAGAACCACTGCGTCTCCTGTGACTTCGCTCATTCAGGGATGTGACTGATTCAGATTTATGAGGGAGGGACTGGCTCGAGGAGTTGAAATTTCTCCTTGGCGGTGGAGAAGATACTGGAGAACCATTGTGTCGATGATGACTACGCTCATTTAAGGATATGATTGATTCAGATTTTCGTAGGGACTGGCTTGAAGAGTCGAAGTTTCTCTGAGGCAGTGAGGACGCACGACTCTGCTGAAAACGATCATAAGTTCTAGATGGGGAGAAAGTATGATGTGTTGAACTAGCAGTTACATCAGTACTGCGACGCATTTGGGCTGAAGAATCATATACCCTCCTTGAAGGTGATGAGCTCCTATTGTCACTACCTAGTCCTGCTGAAGAACTATTTGCTTCTGTCTTCTTTAAGGCACTCCGAAAATCAGAAACAGTACTGGACTGGGACTTGAGAGAAGAAGCAAATGATTTGAAGTTTCTTGGTAGAGTTCCCGACTCAAAACGTCGAGCTTGGGTGCCTTGTAAGGAGTTTTGTGATATTTGCATTGGTCCTTGATTCCAACCACCACCATCAAAGGTTGTTCTGCTGAGAATGCTGCTGGACTCACTGCGTCTTAACTGCAAATTTTCACGTGAGGGGGATGAAGAGCGAGATTGGAGAGTTGAGCCTTGCCTTGAGGAATCATATCGCCCTGACTGTTGATAGGAAGAGATGTTACTCAGAGGATTTGTTCGGCTTAAACCCTTACGACTAGTTGAGGCCAGGGACTCCGCAATCTTAAAAGGAGTAGGACTGGGAGATCGAGGCCCAACTTGTGCTTCAACTTCAACCGCAACCTCATAAGGGTCTGGGGGAGGAATTTCCACAGTAAGATCCTCATTGAGCACTTCTGGTATCGGCCTTTCTGAGGCAACACCAAGATTGGGATTTCTGAAGGGGATAGTATCCTTTGGCTCAATGTTTCTGTGATTAAAGATAGGATGACCTCTTTCAAAATGGCGGAAAGGAGTGGGTGGGCTTTTTTCAGTAAAACGGGCACCAGCTGCCCTCCCGAGGGAGAAGTAGCCACTTTCACGCTTCTCTCTGTCTTCTTTTAATCCTGAAAGAAGTACAAAAATTGGTGATGACTTGCATTTTGAGAGAACTGGAAATGAGGAAAAGGCATGAAAGGTGGAGTAAAGGAACTCATTTGAGAATGGTTACACTATGGCCATAAAGAGGTAGACACCATCTTGGACCACTCTGCCCTTCTTTTCTGCTATTAACAAGGCATACGTGTTGCCTTCCCCATGCTAGATGACTGAATATATTAAGTTGTTGTTATGTGATTGGCTGGATTCCATACATTCAAAAGGTCTACTTGATAAAGCTGCTCCTGAGTGTGTGTTGTATTGTATTACTGATAATTACTCCCCGACACCTCAGCTGGTACTCCAAATGGGGATGCCTAGAAAAAGACACCTCTGGTTGTAACTGGATATAGATAAAGAAGTGCAGTAAGTCACAGGTGTACTGAGAACTCTGTATGCTGCTTCACATAATATCCACAACTACATTACATCAAAGATCAGGTGATCCTTTTCTCTGACATTTAAATGTCTTGACACTCGTACATAACACGCAGCTCTTTTTTATTAAATTGATTTGTTGAAGAATTATGTCAGCAGCTTTGAAAGCACCTGAGCCTCGACTAAAGCTGCCGCCACCTCGCGTTTCCTCCATCCAGGCCTGCCGAGGGTTAGGGCGGTGAGGTGGAGGGTCCAGGCGGGTCATTTTGAGATTGGTGGGGTGACGTCGAATCGGCAAGTACTCCTCGTCGGTACTAACAGAGCAACTGAACTCTTCACTCTGGTCACGACAGCTGTTTGGCAGATCGACATATGTAGACGTGGGATGGTGAGACTTCAACATCCACACAACCAAGACACACCAAAAAAGTTGACATGTTACGTTTGAATGTAGAATTAGTGTTTTATTACATAGGACTATTAAATAGTCATATGTCAATAGTCCTATGTAATAAAACTCAGTAGAGCACTTAAATTAACATTAACATGTCTAGTTCATCCAAATGTTCCGGTTGTAAAGGTCTCTCACCTGTCTGTGGCGTCGTCCTCGTAGATGTAGAACCTGCAGTCGGGGCTCAGGATGCACAGAGAGGTCTCCCCGTTACGCGCCTGGCCTCCATTGACGTCACAGCAGCTGCTCACCACTGAAACACTGTCAGAGTCTTCCTGATTGGAAGAAATGGACCAATCACAAAGTCGAAACACAACCTAACTGAAACACAACCTAGATCCCACTCACAAAGACGATCTTTGATCTTTGAGGCTGGGTCTTCGAGGAAAGGGTTAAAAAAAGCAACCCTCAGATGTGATGAAGATGATAGATGTGAAAATACAGATGAGTTTGAAGTTAACGGATCCAGATATTTCTGACTGAATGTGGTAGAGATTCTCCACTCAGTCCTCTCTGTCAGACGCTCACATGTTCACGCCGCCGTCTGATCAGGGTTACACTCTGTAACTTGATCAGACTTGTGGCTTTCCTCATAAATTTTTCAACATCCTATGTTTTTACACTAAAACCAGTTCCTTTAACTGCATTCTGTTAAAAGGGATTTAAAAAAATAGACCCATCCATCACGTTTGTCAGACAGTGTCGTCTTTTAGGAAACCACTATTAAAACTGAGAAGCTGGCGCTATTTAAAAATAATGATACCCTGAATTTAATGGAAGCCAACCACAGATGTAATTTTTGTTGCGAATGCCAGCAGAGGAAGCAAACGGGCATCTTTACAGCTTCAGCCCGGCTCATCCTGCTCCTGCTTACTGTACGTTGCGCCTCTTTCTAAGAGGCTACAGTTTCCCTGGAGGCCAGTAAGCGATCCAACTTCATTCATTTATAATAGGAGCTGCAGCTGCTGCCTTCCTCCACATTATTACTCTGCAGTAATGAGTGAAATTTTTCTTAATTTACTAAAAGGCAACACATTCCTGCATGATCCCATAATCTATTTTCATATTTGTCACAGTGTACTTTCACACTTTCTCAGTTAACAAAATATCCCTGTAAGTGCAACAATAACAAAAAAAAGAGAATATTTTGTTTCGTTTTAGATCTCAGACATGACAATCCACTTTGTTGTTTTTCATCTGCCGCCTTGACCTCTGACCTGAAAAGAGCCTCCCCTGCTAGGCTTTCCTCCAATCTAGACTAATCTCATCAGTCAGCACCCATTGTACTCTGGTTTTACACAAAGCATCTCTTCTCCAGGTTACCCAGAGTCCTTTCCTACCTTGCTGCTGCTGCTGGTGTCTCTTTCCTCGGTCTGGGAAGAGATTGGCGTCAGCAGCGCTGCTCTGCTCGACCTGATCCCTCCTTCGAGTCCCGAGCTCTTCCCAGTTGCATCCCCATCCTCAGGCAGGGGTTTCTGCAGAGGCTCGAGCTCGGTTCTTTCCCCTGCGCTCGCGTGCAGGTGCCTCTGGCGCAGGCACTCGTGGCAGCGGGAGGGGTCAAAGACATTGGGTTGGAACTTGGGGCATGTGGGCTCGTCGCTGGAGTGGGACATGGTGAGCCCGGCCTGCTCGATCGTTGCATTCCAGGTGTTCTCAAAAGAAAAATACGGTCCAATTAAAAAAAAAAAAAAAAAAGAAAATGGGGGGGGGGGAGGAAATCTACAGAAGAGAAACAGAAATCATCTGGTACATTTCATGAGTTATTTTCAATGCATATCTTCTTATGGGACAGTAACTATTTTTAGGTAGTGGCTGAGCAAAGAACAAAAGCTCAGAAATAAAAATAATTAATTAATTTCATTGTTCATCCACAAGATAAATCTAGACATGTAAAATTTGACATTCAGTCTGAGGACCCCCAGTTACTGCAAGACACTAAATTTAAATCAACATTAATTTACAAACTGAAATTTGAAAGGTGACACACAAAAAAACCCAAATGCAAATGAATGATAATTAACTTTATTTAATGCCACAATTTGATGAGCTGTACCAGGTTATAGCGAAAGCTAATTTGCACCTGCAAATTAGCTTTCACAAAAATGAACAAACATAAAACACAACAACAGATGTTTCTTTAGAGCCACAACACACAGAGTTAATGTTCACATACCTGAGCAGTGTTCAACAAATTTACATTTTAGATTGCGAGGAAAGTTTCCTCCAACGAAGAAGACACGAAAAAGAAAAAAAAAGGTGTAATTACCAGAGAGGGCTCGTGCAGCCTGGAGCTGCTGGGCTCGCGAACATCCCGCCACCCGATTGGCTGCTCGCTCTGAGTCCCGACACTGGAGCATCATCCACGGTGCATCTCGCGTCTCGCGCCGCTGACCCCGAAGCGCCCACGAGCCCTGAACCTACATGGTACCAGTGGGGCCCCCCGCGCGAGGCTCGTTCAGCTGTATTAAATATCATGGGCTTTAGAAAGCGAAATGACGCGCGCGGGCCCAGTGACAGCTGGCACGCGCCCGGCTCGAGTTGACGTAAATAAGTAAAGGAGAGCGAGGGGGGACGAGAGAGGGGATTCACGTGCATTACGGGGCCAAGCTGAGCAGTGAATGTCGACCAAACATGGCGACATTTTAAACATACAAGAAGGTGTTGGTGAGGTTGAAGGAAATGCGTTTCCTGATGCACCGCAGAGGATGCTGACTGCAGCGTCAGGTTTCCTAATTAAACAATAGGACGCAGAGGAACCAAATCCCAAGCGGGACTTTATTTGACACAACTTGAAGCACATACAGTACATTTTGTGAACTATATTTGTATTAAAAAAAAAACAACTCAAAACTGTTAGAAAAATATATAAGATATTTTCAGAGGCCAACACTGTTAGAATTCAATATGGAGAATTCAGCTGAACATCTGCTTAAAACACAGACTCTCAAGCTGATTCTGACATTAAATGTGCCACACACACACACACACAACATTCAGTCTAGATGGTCCGTCTTCTTCCCCGTTTGTCTCCGCCTGTGTTTCTTGCTGGTCCTCCCGCCTCTGTGCACACCCTCCGTGACACCGGGTCTCTTGTCTGGCCAGCGTCCTCGTCTGTCTCGGCCTTCCTGCTTCCCTTTCCTCCTCCGCTTGCTGGTGCACGTGCTGAGCGCCGTCGTTAGGGAGCGGATCCTGCAGCGCAAAAAAAAAAAAAAAAAAAAAAAAAAAGAAATGAGAGAGGGGCAGCAGGTATGCTGTTAGCAGATTACATAATGTTATTATAGGTAACAAAGAAACAGAAAAATTGTCTGATTAAGCCCAGCTAATGTGACGCTAATTACATAAACGAAGCCATAAAGGCAGGAGTGTAAAGCAAAGTTTGTTTTAAAACCACTAAAATGTTAAATCATGTCATTCCTACATTTAAACACCTCAGCAGTTGTGTCCATCACCCAGCTACCTGAAAGATGCTTGTTAACAAAAAGTGTAAAAAAATTTTTTTTAACCAATTATCAGTGTTATATTTCTGTCACATTGTAAAATAGTAGGAGAATTTCATAATAATATTATGCATAATTACCACTTGAAATCTAGTCATTAGACAATAAAACTGGTGTTTATTCTATTTTTTTTTTTGCTTAAGCCTGAAACCAAATCAAAATCATTAAAACTATGATTAAAAATATGGAATTTTATTTCCAGAGTTGGTGCTTTTCTGTTTTTTTTTTTTTTAAGTACTGTGAAAGGAATTGTTTTGATTCAACCAAGAAGCTTATTTCTGATAGGTAATAAATTCAACCTCTCGAAAGAAGACAAATGTAACGTTTCTGTAAAAAAACCCACAAAACCCCCCCCATATATCTATGGTTTCATTTGTATTAAATTACAAAAGTGCAACAACAAAAGCTATTTACTTTTTCATAAACAACGGGGAAATTTTATTTTCACTTTTGAATTTTTTGCTGAACATCTTTTTGCCTTTTTGATAATCATCTTTGGTGACGATCTCAAATCAACAACATTTCACCGAAGTGCTTTAAAGTAAATCTGGTAAATATAGAAATAGCTGGAACCATTGTCCCACCAATTTTGACCAACTTCAATGAGCTCAGCTTACTTTTTGTTCATGATCAAGTCCCTTGGTTTTTTTGGCATTGCGACTCTTTTCTCTTCTTCCTCCTTGTTGTCGTCCTCTCTCTCTTCATTAGCCTTCAAATCACAAACACACGTTAAGAGTCCCAACCACAAACCAGATGAATGCGCAGAGAAGCTCGTGATCCCTCACGTCACTCGTCGCAGGCCCGAACAGGTGAGCTCCCGAGAGGTCCAGATCACTGATGGTCGTCACAGTGACGGTGTGGTTGGGGTGGTCGTACTGAACAGACTCTGTGGTGCTGATCACCGCATCTCCGAGCTCGTCTTCATCTGCAGCGGAAGACGCAGGACAAGAAGAAAATCAAGTGACTGAAGCAAATAAAAATAAGAACAAACAACCACTACAAGTTACACTATACTTCCATTAAAACTCACCGAGAGCTTCTTCCCTCTCCTTCAGCATCTTCATATATTCCTTGTGACGCTGAAAGAAAACAGTGGGAGGTGAAAAGCTGCAACCCAAACGCGTCCTCTGTTTTCTCTGATCACACTTACTTCTTCTCTAACTCTGCTTTGCTCCTCCTTTATTTTCTTCTTGATCTCTTGCACCGCCGCTTTCCTCCGTTCTATTTTCCGCTTGTGGAATCCAGTCAGATAGTCCCTGACAGAGAGCAGAACAAGAACAGGAAATAACGCTGGTCAGTCGTCCAACTCGCTAAACTTGTGGGTTTAAGCGTCACTACCGTACGTGTTGTTCACCCACATGCACATTGTTCCCTTTAATTGTATCCTATCACAGCGTTCCCGCCGACAGAGTTGATATGAACAAAAGACGAGAGCAATCTTGCTATCATGTTAAGCTAACGTGCTAGCCGGCTGGCTAACAACTCCCAGCATTTGCAGCCAGTGACGTCATGTTTACTCACTGCCTGTCCTTGTCGTCAAACATCACGACGCATTTGTTTTCTCTCTTCTTTGAGCCAGGCTTAAATCTGGCCCTTTTCGACGCCGCATTGTTGTTGTTGTTGTTTTTGGGGTTTTTCATGCCGTACACGTGAAGCCACGGAGCTTCACGGTTCCGTCAGTGAAATACGTCCGGCAGGGAACACGCGCATGTCAGTCTGTGGTCCGCTCAGTCACGACACGTCATCAAACAACGACGAAATATTACATCTGTGTAATAAGTATAGATTATACTGGTCATACTAACAGTTGTACTGTGAAACAGTACTACAAAAATACTTTTTGGAACTATTTGAGCTAAATTCTAGCTGTGAAACATGTTCTAGCCTATGATTGATTACTGTTTTTTTTTGTTGTTGAAAGTTTATATTTGACCCTAAAAACCAATCATCTGGTTAACACGTGTCCTAAAGAGTCACACGCCTGACATATTTGGCCAAAATGCACTCAAGCGCATTTGGTGTAACCCAACAACAGGATATGTCCAGACACCTGATACCAACTCTTTGGCACGGTGGTGGAGGTGTGATGATCAGGGTTTATTTTAGAGTCTAAGCGTCTCTCAGTCGTAAGCTGTGGCTTGTATTTTAAGCAGCTGAAGCCTGGCTCATATTGAGTCAGGAAATTAAATTGTCCAAGAAATACTATTGAGCTTGGCTGACATTAATCATTTGAAAGAGAGACAAATATATTGAACTTTACACAGCAACTGTTACGAGAGTAACACCTGCCACAGAGTAAAACCCGACAATGTTTCCTCTCCTTAGCGCATTGCAAAGAGCTTTTCATGGCCGTTTATGGTTTTCTCTACTACATCCTCACAACTCAATGCTTTAGTGATTTTGATGTCATTGGTCAACAGGAAATAGCACAAGTGGAAGGAAGTGGATCACAGAAAAAACATTTAAAAAGTGCGTTTCGTACATCTGTATTTAGGCACCAAACTAAAAAATTACCACACTGGCCGTACAACGTTCTGCTGTTTTATTAGAAAAGAATAAAATGAAACAAAAAAATTTCAAACAATAAAACATCTTGGGCTAACAATTACATCAATAGAAAAGTCTCAATAACAGCTGAGCCATTGCCTTTCGCTTAACCCATTTAGCAGGCAGAGTTAACCAAATACACACAAATATATTTTCAGTACTAATTAAACGTCAGCTTGTTTTCAATAGCAGGAGAATTTCCTATCCTTATTCTTGAACATCTTTTTAAAAAAAAAAACCCGCTTGAAAGAAGTAACCCTTTCATGACTAAACAAAGGATTTCATTTGTATAAAAACAATAGAAATATCTTGATTTTACAGTTTCTGGCCCCTATACTACTTTAACAAATAAAAACAACCGACCGCCCAAAAGCATGTATCACACACAACCATTAAATAAGATATCCAGAGCAAAGAAACAACAACAAAAAAGTGCAGCGTCACGTTGATAATTACAAGTAAAAAGCTAATCGAACAATAAAAAAAAAAAAGATACCACTCGTCAATGTCTTATTTTTTCTTAACTGATACAACATAAGAAAATATTTGCTTTGTACAGAACATCAAGGCTGTTTTGCTTGGGAGCTTCAGATGGCCCTCACTTCCGGGGAACTGTCGCGCTGCAGCGACGCGATTCGCCGGAAGGCTCAGACGGTTGACCTCACCTCGCTGACGCCTCAACGTGATTCGTCTCAAGCAAAGAACGTCGTCTTTTCAACCTGCTTCTATGTACAACTTATATACAGCTACTACAGCAAATGCAATAATCTGCGTAATTGTGTTTTATCAAAACGGAATTCATTTTCTCGACTTCTGCACACGTCACAAGAATTCGTTCTGCCGAATCCCACGAACCGAGTTCGACGGGTCTGCAGCAGTAAGTAAAGAGTCGAATTTCAGCCCAACTCGTGTGCTTCATTTTCCTATGTTGCTGCATGGAACAGTGCTGGCACTGTACAGTATTTGAGGTAGATTGAGACGACACAACCTGCACAGCTAAAACAAGCCTCCTCCGCTCTCTGGGAGCCTGCAAATTAAAAAGGAAGCAGTGATTCAACCACTCATCACCGCATGCTGATAATGACTGAAAGACTTTGTCAACTAAAATTGATCTGCACTGCATCAGCTGTGATGCATTATCCTGTTTTTCTGGACCTGGATTGTTCCTCTGGATCCATTTGTGGGCTTGTCTGCGAATAAAGAAGCTAAATTGTGATGCAGCTCCTGAATGTTTCCGGATTAAAGTTGAGCGATGAGTTTAAAAGAAGGCTGCCAGTACCACTACTGTCCAGACGGTGGAGCCGTAGCACTGTAACAAATTCAAAAATGTGTAGGGATCATTCATTTCACCTCATATGTAATCAGCCGTTTTCCCTATTCCGTGTTTTTCTTTCTTTTCTTTTTTGATCACCATGAAAACAAAAGTTTCAGCGGTGTCTCTTTCTTTCCGTTTGTTTTCAGGAAGCAGCGATGGTGGTTCCCCCGCTGAGGCGCAGCAGGATCTGCTGGCAGTCCTGCACCGACCGACGGTCGCCCACCCGCTCCAGCGTCCGCTTGGCCTCGGCCAGCAGGCGGGCCCGGTGGCCCGGCGGGGTCAGCAGGGGCATGGGCAGGTGGCGGCAGGCCAGCAGGATGGCGTGAGCTCGCTCCCGCTCCCCGACGACGCACTCGCCATCTGACGGCAGCACGAAGGCAGAGAGGAGAAACAGAGAAGTAATCAATTACTGATAAACTACTGGAGCATGTGCTTTCAAAAATACTTGAGTATAAACGTGACTTTTTTGACAATGTCGTTTGGAAACGTTTCTGCCAAATCTAACACGTCATGAATAATAATGTATTTGTTTTATATGTTTCTAGGTGCTAAAATATACTTCACAGTCTACAACATCCTCTCGATAGAAAAAAAAAAAAGTAAATTTGTGAGAAAAAATTCTGAAAATTTCAGATTGATCTAAAAAATTTTCTGTCAAAAAAAGCAGGTAATTTCTGAACTCAAAAACGTGCAAGAAAAACAGAAATTTTGAGGTCAATCTGAAATGTAATAGATAAAATAAGAAGATTACTGAGTTTCAAAAGCTGAACATTTTTGCAAACTTACTCCTTTTTTTCCTTTCTGCAATGTCCCAAAACACACAGTCGCACGTCACTATTCTTGTAGCCAACGTGTGTGTGTGTGTGTGTGTGTGTTTGTGCGTGCGCACCGGCCGAGTACGAGCCATTTGTCCTGCGCCGCAGGTTGTGCTCCAGCAGCTGGTGCGTCCTGGTGGGACTGGCTCCAGCTATCAGCCGCACCGTGGTCTCATGAAGGAAAACCTGAGCAGAACAACCCAAAAAAAAAAAAAAGTGTTACTTCATTGAAAACGTAAAAGCATCAAACATCTTTGAACATGGAGGTGGATCTAGCAGTGTGTGTGTACCTTGTGTTGTGCCTGTCGGTAACACTGTGTGAGTCTCCTGAGCGCGCTCAGGTCCCTCTGGAAACCGGCCAGCTGGGATCCGGGGACCGGACCCGGCTCTCCGTTGCTGCTGCCTCCTCGCTGCCATAAACTGGTCCGTAACGTCAGCAGCAGATCACAAACAAGAAGCTCCACCCCCTTAAATAAAACCACAAACATCCACATCAGGAAAACATATATAAACAAATTTGGGGGAGGGGAAAAAAAACAAAACAGAGAAAACCCGATCACCAAAAGCTCCTGCAACTCAACCCCGGCATGCGCGGCAGAAATCAAGCAGACATTGAGTTGCTGATTGTCAGCGTTGGGGCGGCCGGGCATGGCGCGGATCGGAGAGGCCTCTGTACTGCACTGCAGAGACATTGCACTCAGACTGAGGATCATGCAATGCAACTACAATGCACCACAGCCACCTCCTTCCACCCACACTGCACGCACGCACACACACGCATGCACAACCACCCACACACACAGCCCCAGGCCAGCCTGTCCTGTCCACCACCCAGCATGCAATGCGTTTGTGTCGTAATAATCAGAAACAAAAACAAGCGAAAACCCGGTGAGCGCCAGCATAAATCCCAAAGCGGAGGAAAGAGTGGAGAGCTTCTGACAGGTCTCGTCCGCCGCACCTTGCTGAGCCAGTTTCCAGACGGGCCGAGCGGCACCGAGATGCTGGAGCGCAGGTAGCTGCTGGAGCGGTCGCAGTGAGACAGGCAGGCCGCCACGCCGTCCCCCTTCAGAGGAGACAGGCTCATCTGGACCACCTTGCAGAGCAGCAGCACGGCTTTGGGCAGCGGGTGGCTGGAACGGGGGAGACCGACACGTTAGAAGGTTTAACCAGAGCGCAAGAAATGACTGCAAGGAGCGAGAATGTTGTTTGGAGACAATTTTCAAATGCAAGTAAAAGCCTCTCTAGGATCAACAAACCTTCCAAAGAGCATTTAAGGCTGGAACTGGAAGACACTTTAAATATCCAACATAATTAAATAACACAACAAATCCATACAATTACAAAATTTGGGGCTGCAACTATTGATTATTTCAGTAATCAGTTATTCTGATGATTAATCTGATAAAATCGACGCATTCTGCTGATTTCTGATACTCACTCAAGAATGAGCAGAGCTCTCGGCATCCGCTCCGCTTCTGCCAACAGGGACCTCACTGCGACATCGTCGCCCTGCAGCCAATGAACAGCCGCCTTCAGCACCAGAGCCCACCAGCGGCTCACTGGGTCGCCCACTGGCCACAAGGAAACCGACGGAGCAGAATTAAAGGGAGCACACGGTAAACACGGTGATGTTCATCGTGATTCCTTATGAGGAGTTTCTTTGCGTGACGTTCAAACCTGGGATGGCGGTGTAAGTGGGAGGAGTCGTGAAGGGCGTGGGCGGCGAAGGAGAGTCCTCTGTGCAGTTATTCAGCAACTCCAGGAACTCCAGGGCATTGGAGAATTCCCTGGGAAAAGAAACCAAAATAAAAAAAATGAGATGACACACAAAAAATAAATCGCATGATTAGCGCCCGCGTCCCGCTGGTGGAGAGACGGCAGCTCTCTTTTTCTCACCCCAAGTTGTTCTTGCAGCTGCCTGCGTCGGCGTCACTCTGCGGCTGGATGAGGGTGTGAACGGCTCTTTCCAGAAGCTTCCTGCAGAAGCAGCGGTGCAGCTGGGCGATGGGGTCGGCTGCACAACGCAACAATGACAGAAACGGGTGAGCAGAGAAACATGACGTCCAAGAGGCGGAAAAAACGAGACACAAAGACACGAACCCGGGTCTCTTTGAGAAGTAAACACTTCATCGCTGCTGTCCGACTTCACCGACCAATCACAGCTCAGGAAAAACTGCCGGCCGAGCGGCGTGAAGAGCCAGCGCAGGCAGTCGGGGATCTGCTTGGTCTCCGACTGGTTGGCCACGCTTTCTGCGCAACCGAGGAGGTATCCCTGGGAGACAGAACGATGTTCCTGTCTGATGTTTTGTTTTTGGATCAGCAACAGAAGAAGAAGAAGAGACGTACCGGCAGGAAGGTGAGATGGTGTCCCAGGACGCAGCGCAGGGCCGTTGCTGCAGTGACATAGATCTGAGCGAACTGAGCCGGCGCCATCTTGCCCTGGGCGCTCTCGCTGAGGTTGGCGGCGCTCAGAGACAGAGACAAAGCCCACAGGCTGCTGCGCTGAGGCAGCTTCCCTACAGAGACGAGAATAAAAACAAACACTTATCCCCTCTGGACGCCGCTGACCACGATCTCTGCAGGCTTCACAAACTCAAATTTAAGACATTTTTCCGACACTATGATGACTGAAATTTAAGACCTGCAACATGACAGAAATGTACAAAAGAAAATCACATACTTCATAAAGTAGTGTCAAAGTTTTTGGGCCAAGAAGGCACGGGTTGGTAACAGATTGTAACAGAGAATATTTGTTAGTTTAACCACTCATCCGCTAAACAAGACTTTTAGCTCTGCTAATGCTAAACTGCTAAACACAGGAAAACGAAATAGTAAAAGCTGAAGTTAAAAATTAAGAGAAGTGTCTCACATCTTCAGCCAGAGTCACAGAACACAACAAAGACACCTTTCCACAGTAATATGCTGCACAAGAACATTGTCTGACCAACTGGCGGCAATTTAAACTTACCAATGACAGATGCAAAAAAGCTAGCTAGCTAACAAAGGTTTATTAACAGCTAGTTAGGAAGCTAAAGCTAAACTGCTACGCATGTAACCAAATTAGCAGAAGCTAAAGTGCTAAAGATGTTAAAAGTTGAGCTGAAGCTGAGGCAAGCACATACAAAATAATTATCGGCAGCCAAAGTTAAACCGCAAAGCACATACAAACAAATTAGCTGAAGCTAATGCTAACTATTAAGACAACTATCTCTCAGTCTGAGTAAATAGTCCTGCCACTACAAAATTTAAGACTTGTGATTGACCTACTTAAGGCTGACTTAGATTTCTTTTTTTTTTTTTACTGAATGAATTTAAGACATTTTAAGGACGTCATTTTAAATACGTGATTGTAAGGCTTTTTGAGAACTCCCTGCTGACAGTCAGGAATGACCTCTTATCATCCGAATCCAATTCTGTGCTTCACTTTGTTCCCTGACCTGTGAGCTGCAGCTGGCTCAGCTGGTGGTAAACCAACGCTGCGTCTCTCGCGCTCGTCCTCGCCTCCTCTCCCTCGTGCTTGCCCCCGACCTGGTGGACCAGCCAGCCGAAAGGCACCGGACGATGCAGACAGTAGCGGATCAGATTCCAGGACAGGGAGCAAAGCAGGTCCAGACCGCTGGAGGGCAGAGCTCTCGTCAAGACGGAGAGGCAAGTCTCCAGGCTGGCCATCGCCGCCGTGTAATCTCCCTGCAGCAGAGAACAAGCGGAAAAAGGAGACGCTCAGTGTTGAGCGCAGGGAAAAGTGGAGGGTGTCACGACTCAGACATGAAAAAGCATTTGAACAAATGCAAAAAATAAAACGAGACATGGAGGAGGAACGCCAAGTCGAGACATTAAAAGAGAAACAAACGACAGAAAACACAGAACAAGCAGTAGGTGGAATAAATTAGCCCGACTTTTTTGCATGTTTTCACAGTACAAACACAAATATATATTTTTTGAGGCAGGGAAACACAAAGCACCGCATAATTGTGAAGTGCAAATAATTCATACGGCTTCATATTTTAAAAATGTATCTAATTTGATGGGGTTTTTTTTGACAATGAAATTTATTCGGGTGTTAAAAGTTCACCCCTAAATCCAATAACAAATCAGTGGCATAACTTGAAAACTGATGTCTCCAGACGATTTTTGTCCAAACCCATTGAACTTGAGCTATTGTGCAAAGAAGAATGTGCAAATACCACGACTCTAGCCAAAAGACTTGCAGCTGCAGGAAAATAAATATTGACCCGATGGAATCAAAAATCACAGAAATGTTGAAAGTCACGTGTTTTTTCTTCCACTTCACAAAAGCTCACTATTTTGTCTTGGGCTGTCACATAAACACCAATAATAACACATTAAAGTTTGTGTTAACAAGTAAAAAAGTTTGAGATTTGAAAACTGCTGCACATTTTTTACTCTTAAAGGGGCAAAATTATTTACTTTTCAGACACATAGTGCCATTTCATAACACATTCAACTAACTATGCTGACTTCAGTAGTTATTAAATGGCTGTATGTCAAATATGACCAACAACATTTTAGCAGCGTTGCTCTGAAAAGTAGCAGCTATGATGAGCTCAGCCGATGATGCACAGTTCCGCCAGGTGTTTGCCAATTGTTGCCGGCTAGTCTGAAGGAACTGAGCGGGAGATGGGAGAGTTGAGGGGGGGGGCTGGCGTTTTGGCCAGCTGATTGATTATCACAGGAGTTTCAAGAATTTCTCAAGCGTGCACGAAAGACTCAAAGCAACACTCAAAAAAAGTTGATTTTACATATTTCTCATTTTTTCTTCCTTCTCTACTCACCCTGTGGAGATGTAGATCTGCTTGCTTGCGGTGCCTCCAGAAGGACACCGATTTGGGCGAGTGAAGGGGTGTGACAGGCTCCCAGAGGTACAACACCCTGACACAGCCCCACAGCGCCCCCACCCCACTCAGGACCCACACAATCACCCATGGCAACAGGCAGCGCAGCCAAGAAGCTGCAGAACAAGGGGATTTAATTAAGTCATTTCAGCTTATGCTACAAACGCTTGATGGACGCAAGAGCGACTGCTGCTCACCAAAGTCCTGTGTGTGAGTTGGAAACCAGACGAGCGTCCTGGATGGGACGTGGGCTGCCGCCAGGCTGTGGCTTCCCGCGTCCTCTGAGCCCAGCAAAGAGGGGAGTGGGTTCAGAGACAGGCAGAAGAAGGTCAGCGCGCACAGCAGCAGCCGAGAACGGTCCATCACTCCCACCGTGGAGGGAGAGTCCGGCTCGCTCTTCACCTTGGAGACGCAACGAAAGACAATGAAACTGGTCCTGATGACGTCTAAATATTTGATTAATCCTGCCCTCACGCGCTTTACCTGATGGTGATCCAGTAAGGGGCTGCCCGGCTCAGAGTCAACGCAGTACGGAGAGAACTGGTGCGGCGAGCCGGAGCCGGAATCCGAGGCCGGAGGAGACATCATCACTCCCTCCTGTTTGAGATCGACGTCTTCGGACAGGATCACAGGCTCTGGGGCACAAAGCATTGATCCTCAGACGCAATAAACCTTAAACGATGTAGGCTAATTAAGGATTGAGCTGCTGAAAGGAAGGACAACCTCTATTCTTTTTTAAATCTCTGTCTTTTGTAGAACATGTTGCAAGTTGGGGATTTTGAGACTTTTGAAAATCTCTGAGAAAAACTGACAGAAGACACTCAGGCGTAACCGTTATCGATGAGCAATGCTAACGTTTCTAATGACGCTAACCGCTAACACGTTAGCAGCTTAGCAGCAGAGACGTAAACTCCACATCATGTTCTCTTTGTTTTAAGCTAGTAAAACTAGTGTTTTCCCTCACACACAGTGTAACGTCACCTCTTCTCTTAATAAAATTAAACAACAACCACTCAAGGAACAAAGGCGAGGAAAAGATTGTGTGATTACAAAGGCTTCCTAAGCTCGTTTTTTGTGACTAGATATGCATTTGCTTATGATGTGTCATTTTGTTGTATCTTTTATGTCTTGCGTTTTTATGAAACGCTTAGTTTTGACTTTTGGACGGACCGAGGTGCTTTATTTTGTCTCTCTTTCTACTCTAAAGTCCTGTAAATTTACCATACAAATAAGAAGGTCCAGATGCTGCGACTGACATCACATTAAGCTTCCCTGTCAAGCAGGTGGTCAAACACACGCAGAAACATAAACGAAGCCTTACTGTTTTTCTGGTTGGCCATCTTGAGGGAGAGATTCTCCTGTCGTAGTTTGTGGTTGACCTGCTGCAGGTACTTTATGTAGTCAATAGCTTTCCTCAGCACGCCTGACTTGTGCATCTGTTGGGGGAAAAAGGCAAAATAAGTTTGTATAAAATGAACCGTGTTTTCTAGATTCTTTACTGTATGAGCCCACCTTGGCGTCGCTGCCCATCACCAGGTCTCTGAGCTCCACAATCTTATCGTTGATGGAGGATCTGTATCTCTTCTCGATGATGTTGTGGGTTGTCCTCCTTTCGCCCTCCTTCACCACAACTCCTTGCCCTGCCGCTCCTGCCGACACCGGGCTCTGCTCCATACTTGGTCGGGCGGCGGTAGTGCAGGGGGCGGAGCCTGGCTGGAGCTGCTTGATGGGCAGCTTGTCTCCTCCTCCCATCATGACTGGAACGGTGGTCAGAATGTTGCTGCTCATCAGAGTCTGGGAACAGGAATCAGACATGATGCTGAAGCGATCGTCACAGATCGGCGAGAACGTGGGAGGACTTCTGGCCGCTCCGCTTACCGGGACTTGTAGCGCCGTATTCTGGATGGGCGTGGTCAGGGTGGTGATTCCTGCAGGGCTCTGCATGGTGGACAGCACCTGAGTCCCGTCTGGTTTGAGCGTCGTGAGGACCAGTGAGTCCGTCTTAAGAATCTGAGGCTGCTGGACCAGAACCTAAGAGGAGGAGAAGAAGATTTAACATTTGCTTCAATGCAGGGTTTCTAGATTAATATTATGAACAAAGGAGGAGAGGAAAAAAATGAAAGGAAATAGAAAAAATGTCAAAGAGTAAAGAAAGAAGGGAAAAAAGGAAGATAAAAAAACAAACTTAAGGACAAAAGAAAGGATAAAAGGAAAAAATAAAAAAAATGTAAAAGCAAAAAATGACAAGAAGAAAACATGGAGAAAGTAAAAAGGTTAAAGGAAAAGTAAGGCAAAAAAGAAAAAGGGAAAGGAATAAGAAAATGGGGGAAAAACAACAACAAAAAGAATAAAAAATGACATAAAAGAAAGAGAAAGGGGAAAAAAGAAAGGAGAAAGTAAGGGAAAAATGAAGAAAATAAAAAAAGCAACCAAAAGGAATCAAATTGAATTTTATTTGTGTAGCACATTTCTGAAAATGGAGATTTTAAAGTGCTTTATATCATAAAAACACAAAAAGTACAAAGTCATAGAAAACACAAATAAATGGGGGAAAAAAGGAGGAAAAGGAAAATAGAGGTGAAAACTGGAAGAAAGAATAAAAGACCAAAAAAAACGATGGATGGAAAACAAGTCTCACTGACCGGTACTTGTTGCATCTGCTGCTGCATGGTGTGGACTGTAGTGGGCGCTGTAGAGAGAGTCTGGATGGTCTGACCTGTTGGGGTCAGAACACGCTGATGCTGAATGGTGACTGGCTGCAGCTGTGGTGATGTCATGATGCTCTGCATTTGAGGCTGGAGGACTGGAGGAAAAACAAAGGCGCTTTCAAAATATGCAGGGAGGGAGAGAATTATGAAGAAGAAAGAAAATAAAAGCAAACACTGTGGTCACCTTGAAAACTGGGAGCGGGACTCTGATGGCAGATGACTGGGTTCTGGATGAAGCGAGACTGGCCCCCGCTGGAGGCGATCATCACGGTCTGGGCTGCCTGCGTCTGGATGGGGAGCGGCGTCTGGGTGTGTGTCTGAACCAAAGTCTGGACCGGGAAGTTCTGTGTCTGGAGCGGAACCCCCTGGGTGTGCATCTATAGTCACAAAAAAAACACATAACATTTAAACAATGTTTTCAAGCTGGAGAACTAATAAAAGGTGGATGTTTAAATACCTGGATGGCCGCCTGGGCCGTCTGCTGAGGCTGGATGGGCTGGACCACCTGGGGCCGCGGCTGAAGCAGCGGCGGGTTGCGGGTCAGCTGCTGCTGCTGCTGCTGCTGCACCGGCGGGGTGGTGGTGGGGGACGGGGTCTGTGCCGGGGTCAAGGGGGGTGTGAGGGGTACAGTCTGAGGAGACAGCGTCTGGGATGAGATGAGGCTCATGGTGGAGGTCTGGAAAGCTGCGGCGCTTGGGGTCTGGGGAGTGGGCGGGGCCTGGACGGCCGGCTGCTGGGGGGCACCACCGACGACGGAGACCCCCGTGGACATTTGGTCCTCAAACATGTCCTGGAAGTCCCCCACCTGGTTGCTGACGAACTGCAGCATCTCTGTGGGAAAAGAAATGAGGGAATGTTCCAGATTTTAAAGAAGAATAAAAATCCACCACAGTTGAATTTTAAATGCATCAGGGTTTTCCCCGGTGTTTTATAAAGCCTGGCGGGCCACCAGGCTTTACTTGTGCCCCTGCCAGGCTAAGCAATGCTTATTTATTTAAGTAGTTTTAAAATGTTTGCATTTTTTAAACTTTATTGTTGGTGTTCAGGTATTAATCTTCCAATATCTAATTTCCTCTCAACTTTAAAACATTTTTTAACTTAAAAACGCGACGTGCTGCTGGATGACTGACTGCCCTAGCGCTCAATCAGCAGGATTAGCAAGTTTTCTGGGGGAAACCATGTGTATAAATGGATGTCATGGACATAATAAAACATCTTATTAAGATCTCTAATTCCTGCAGACAGATAAGAGTCAGCAGTGACCTTGAATCTGCACCTTTCTGCAAGCGTTGCTACTGTTGCGTTACGAAAGTAGCCTTCAAACAATCAGCCTTGAAAAATGCTGCTAATCTTGATGGCCCTTACAGATGGCAGATAGATACCATTGTGTAACTATAGTAAGTGAAGGCATGCCAGAAATAGTCCACATACCTGATAGTACATAACAATACATCAATTTCATCATTATAAGTCTGGCAGGCCAACAGACGACTTGAGCCCCCGTCAGGCTAAAGTTTGTTTACCGTCTTTATGGCAACAACTCCAGCGAATAAAATGACAAGTCAAAAAATGTTGACATTGAAGAGAAAAAGTATATATTCATTCCTGTAATTCATTTTAACTTTGTATTTAAGTATTGTTAATAATGTCTTCCAATAACACATAATTTTTTTGTATTTCCAGGTTTCCTGTCAACTTTTTAAAAAATTGTTAAACTCAAAAACATGGTGAACTGCTGGCCTCCCTGCCACAGGGCTTATCCAGCTCTGTGGGGAAACCCTGACCTCCTTTAAGAGTTACTCTGGAATTTATTTGAGATGATCATCTATTATGACAAGACTAATTGTGAACATCTAATATTCCCTTTACGGCTAAATATCTGGAGCGTTCTCCGAGGCTTGAAGGAACTGGATTAGACCCGCTGTTATTGCGACAGGTTGCCTTTATGGACCTGAAGCTTTCCGCAGATCATCTGAAGGTTCCCTGACTGAAGGCTGATGGGTAGGATGTCAGGGTCACCAACAGCCTCTGACCTTGAACTCGGTCCAGCAGACAGAGAGCCGATCTCCGGACTGTTATAACTTTACGTGTCTTTTCAATCAGCTGGGTCCATTGTTCTGCTGTTTTTTTTTTTTTTTTTTTTAAGTTTCACACACATGTAACCTGGATTTGTGACATAAACTCAGATTCTGTAAAATCTTTAGATATTCTCGTTTTATTTTTTATTTTTATTTTTACAGCTGATTTGATTATAACTGAGAAACATATCCAGAAAACAAGCACAGGTTATGAAACTTGTAAACCCAGCTAAAAATAACTTTCAAAGCCCTCAAGGGTGTCAGTAAAGTAGCAGACATCCTGTCTCACCCAAAACCTCCAACTCTACTGCATCTGCAGCTGAGTGGGATCAAATGAAACCACTGACAAATTTATGTTAGCGATTTGTGCTCCTACACACTTGCAAAGCCATGCAAGTGTATGATTTAAGATCATAAACAGGGTAAATTCAGAGGAAAGAGTTTGCTCGTGAATATGTTAATGCTAGAACAGAAAAATGACAAAATGAGGGGCAAATAGTACAAATGTAGGGAATTAATCCTTAAAAATGTTTCTGCATGCAGAAAAATAAACTTACCCAACATGGTTGGGCTTTTGTAGCATTTTATTGATTTTTGGAATCTGTAAAACATGTGCGCTTCGCGCTCCTTGGAGAGAGGTTTTACTGCTACACTGACGATGATTAATATCGATACTGATTAACAGTGATGAACAGATATTTTTCTCGCTCTTCAAGTCAAAACCGCTTTAGCATCTTGGTCCCTAAAATCCGGATGAAATGTGAGCATAAGGGTAGTAAATGTCCATCCAGAAGACCTGGTGTAGTTTGGGATTCAGAATCTGAACACACTGCACCAAATGTGGCAGCCATTATTTACCCCCCCTTCAGTTTCTATTGGGATGAAAACAAATCCCTGAGGTGGAAATAGTATTCAAAATAAGAGCAGCATTAACATGGTCATTTGCTGACATCACTTTAGCTCCACCCCCCTTTAAAACAGGAAGTTCCTTGTTTTGATGGCGGGCATCCTCCTTCTTTTTCAAGCTATTTTTGGTGAGACAAAACAAGTTGATGCTGAATCACATTTTGAACAATGACCATGTTACCATAATGACACTGGTCATTGAGCATGGAAGAATATGTTATTGCGATTCATAAAACTAAGGAGAATCAGAAACACCTGATAAAATTAGGAGTATTTTGAAGCACAGCAAAGAGTCAAACAAGTATAGCAACCTGGTTAAGCTCGCAGCTTAGCTTAGCTTAGCAGGGCTATCTGCTCTGGTAGCCAACCTGCGACTGTTTAACAAACATGTCACTCCACGTTTTCCAGCAGTAGTTTAAAACAGCATCAACTTCATATGAGTCACTCTTCAGCTTTGTGACTCATCTGGTTTTAATGGGTGGAAACATTTCCAAACTCGGGCGAAAACTAAAAATTATTTTAGTTATTGATTCATTTGATAAAGAAAAAATGTTTTGCCACATTCTACAGATTTTTCCTTTAACCACTCAAGCTTTTTTTTTATACAAAATTGGACATAAATTACAAGACGAAAATAATTAAATTGATTTATTAATAAGTAAATAAGCATCTTCCTGCCAAAATGCATTCTTTCAGTGGATTTGAACGGAGTAAACCTAAACCCACGTCTCTTGAGAAGCTTTGGGTAAAACAAACAAACGTAAACATGTCTATGTTGCCCATAACTGTACCAACAAGCAGTAATGTTTTTTTTTTTTTTTGCAGTAAAGGACCTTTTTTGAGTCTGCAGTTACCGATTAATCATTAACTAAAGTAGTTATTTCAATAATTGATTCATCAAAATAAATCTTATTAATTGTTTCGGCCCCATTCCAAACTACAAAATGCATTTTTCTTGCAAGTAAAGGAAAACAAATGAAGTACATTCAAGACAAGATCAGGTGATAATTCTAAGAGGGAGCGTTATCTAAAGGCTTGAAATGCTGGAGGACAGCACTATTGCTCAACTTTTGCATTTATTATATTATTTTTCAGCAAGCAAATAAAGACGCACCCTTCTGCAACTGAGTGGATTACCTCAAAAAGGAATGGGCGCAGTCAAAAAGCAAATAGCATCACTGAATGACAATTCCAAAAGACAGAAGGACGACAAACAGGAAAGATTTCAGATTGTAGATGCAACTCAAAGGAGTTCACAAATTCAAACAAGCCAAAACCACAGCAACGCATTTGCGAGCTTCTACCTCAGACGTTATACTATATGTAAGGTCACTTTGTGATCACACAGTTCCACGTTTGAGACCCCAATGATTCGATTGAGCTGACAACAACAGGGGACGCGTAAAAATGAATAAAACTGAGAGCAGTTTCCAAAAGAAAATAAGTTATGCAATGAGATCTGCAGTAGCACGGCAAATGAAGGGAAGGTAAAATTATTTGAAAGAAGCTGTTAAAAATCCCTTCCTGTCATTTCCGTGACCAAGTCAGAATTAGTACCAATGAAAAGACTTCAGTGTTTCAATCTGTTGGGTCTGAGTCAGGTGAGGAAAGTGTGAAGCTGCGGTTCGCCTGTCGGTCCATCATCCGTCGCTTCTCTTTCACACTGTCGACACATTCCTCTCTTTTGACATCAACATTTAGGGGGAAGTCATTGCTGTCTGCTCATTCTGTCACAAGGATGACCTCGGAAAGATGAGGAACGTATTTTTACGGCATTATGGAAAATTATTTCTCTTACGTTTGGATAAAACAGAATTAAAGCCACAGATTTACTTTATTTTGAAAGAACTTTAGACAAAATCTCTTTGAGCATGTTTGCATCACTGAGACAAATACAATTATATTTGAACTCCCTTCCGTATCATTTTTGGTACATTTTTATAACATAACAAGAATGTTATTAGTACCAATCCGGCTCTGCACACCGTTTGTTGAAACATTTATTGACGCTGCACCAAACAGCATTCCACCATTTGCTCAGACCTTCTCCTCTTTGCCAAATTTGCTCCAAGCTTGCAGGGTTCAGCACTTGATCGGTTATCACTGCAGAACAAGCTTGGCAAAGGTAAGAGGGGGGAAAACAAAGGGATGCGTCAGGACAGAAACAACAAGCCAGAACATTTCACCAGGCATTGTTTTCTTAGATGTGACTTTTATGTAAAAAAAAAAAAAAAAACATCTTATTTTTAAAAGCTCTTCAATTAATCTCGTGTTCCCCCAGATTTTTTTTTCTTACATTAAAACATACAGAATTAAATGATACAATAAACCCAGATATGTGTTGATCTGGTGTTCATTTCAAGAGAGAAGAAAACTGACAGCAGTGTAGAAATATCTTCAAGACAGTGAATAATTACAGGAAGTACAAAAACGGAGGCAATATTTTCTCTAATAAAACAACAACAATAATAATATTCACTAATATAATGAGTTTTTTTCTAGAATAACTCCAACTTTAGGACTAAAGGCTGACGCTGCTGACTATAAATAACAGTTGTCATGTATCAGGATGTCCACAGACTGTATGGAAACGGGCCAATGTTTGGTAAACAACACTGAACGGTGTTGACAGCGGCAGGTCTACTCACCGTCAATGTCTCCCAGAGTGAATTCGTCCCCTAACTCCGCCAGCGTCGAGTCCATGGTCTCCATGGGAGAGACGAACTCTCCAGGATCCATCCTGCTTGTCAGCGGCTCACCGCTCCGGCTGTCACCGGAGGGTCGGAGGAGAGAACGGGCAGGAGATTGGTGGGCTCCACCTGGACGCTTCACGACGCCCTCCGCGGTCTTATCTAATCTGTCGACACGAGTCTTATCAAAAACACCCTCTATGCGGCACCGGAGCCCCACGGCAGGCAGACTTTACCGCCTACAAACTCGCCAACTGCTTATTATTTCCAAGGCGACGCCATCTTGTTTTACGCTGATTACGTCACTCACAAACACACTCTGTGGGCCAGAGCGACGCCCGATTGGCTTGGCATCAGCCGTTCTTGTCATGAGACCAGCCGCCCTCGACCAATCAGAGGCTCGTATTCACTGTGGTCTGATAGTACGTCAACCATCAGAAGCTTCTGTGTCATTTGAATAAACCGCGCCCCCTATCTTCTTTTTATAAAGGATCCACCACCCTGGAAATGTTGAAGGAGAGTAAATAAACATCTAGCTTGGTTCAACTGACAATCTGAGGATCTTATGTTTATAAATTATCCGTCTATATAAATTCAATAGGAAAATCATAATACAAACCTGTGAATGCGAGTATCGTGTCCTCATGTGTATCTAAATCCCCTTGAAATGGAGATTGCAACAATTAAATCCAAAATTGCTGCAAAATATAATTTGACACTGAGATGAAGCTTCAGCTTCCAGCAGAACAGCAACCAAAACATCCGACCAGAGTTACAATGGAATTGGTTTAGATCCAAACATTTTGAAGTGTCGAAACGGACCAGTTAAATCCAGACTAACTCCAATTGGCAAACAGCAGCAACTGACATTAAGAAGTGCTCTATACCCAAACTGAAAGAGCAAAGACATAAAATTAAACTCCGTCTGAATGTGCAAAAGTTGACTCAGTAGCAGAAAAGAAATGCATGTTATGCTTTTCAGATTTTTTTTTTTTTAAACTTTTGAACTCCACGCATCATTTTTCTTTCGCCACATAAAACCGTACACAAAGCAGAACAAGATTGATGCACTGAGAAACATTTCCTGAATTTTAAAATAAACATAAAAACACTTCCTGTTTAATACCATTAGTATGACAGAAACTCTCCACCAGTAATAAGCTTCAGAAAGTTGAATATTATTATTATTATAGTTATGTAATCAAAGACAACACAATCAATACACACAATAATGAAAAATAACATTTGTGGTATTTGAAAGGGAACACTTTATTACAACAGTGAACATTTGAGTACCAGTTGAAATCAGCTTCTCCTCACATGAAAAACATCCACAGCTTTCTAGAAGTGAAAAATCTTCAATCACCAAAACGCTTAAGAACCTTCAGTGCTTCTGTTTCATTTCAAGCCACACACTACTGAAAACAACACATCAGTAAATAAACATAACTTTTTTTTCTTCCAGCACTGTCAAAGGTCGAAATGCCCCAACTCGGTTTGTGACTTTTTTTTTTTTTTTTTTAATCTTACCACTCTAAGTGCTTTTGGTTTAAACATCAACCCCACTCTTCAGTGTTGAAGTTGTTGCAGACCAAAGAAAAATTAAAGTGAAATATTTTCAGCATTAGTAACATGTTCAAAATTCTGTCAAAGGAAACTTTAAGTAAAAACTGTACTCTTTACAACATTTCTTACAGGAGAGCAAGACCTTTGCAGGTAATAGTAAGGTTATCACCGGCAAATCAAATGTTCTTTTCTTGCTCTTTTGGGCTTTTATACCCTATAGTATTAACAATTCTGGATGTAGAAATGGTGGCAGCCTTTTGGATATCTCAGAGTTAAGAAAAGAATGTATGCTATTTTTATTGCTAGCAGCGCTATTTGCTAATATAGGTTGAAAAAGCTGGTTTATTACACCAACTGTGTAATTATTTCATCATTTACAACAGCGGGTGTGATGTCACCTCTACGACTACTATTAATAAAAACAGTGTAATTGCTTTTGGTTCCAGTGGAAGGAGCAGAAGCACAACATTTTAACATCTGATAAAAGTAAATGGTGCGAAAAACAGGAAAGTGGATTTCAGGACTGCAGTCGAGATTTTCTGTTTTCCTTTTTTTACCTTTACAATGAAATGCTGGATTTTTTCCATTCGTATGAAATTTAAGACTACACTGTATCCCACTGCATCACAATGGGCAGTTACATGTAGATCATATAATTTACAGGCATTGCACTCTAGATTAAGTCCCAGTTTATTTGTTCCAGTAGACCTCATAAGACTTTCTCTCTGAATAACTGGCCTCTTGAGTGCTGGTACCAGATCTCACTTTCTCCTTCACCACCTTCACTACCAAACCACCAGCCAGAGCAATACCTGCAGCCGCTTTCCCGATCTCAGCCACTGCGTTTAAGATCCGAGTAGTTGCTGCCACAGTGCCCCAGTGGCCTGACGCAGGCCCCACTACTTCACACATGGCTCCCGGTGGGACATTTGGAGCTAAGGCTGCGGAGCACTGGAGAGCTCCTGCAGCTTCGCTTCCTGCAGAGGCCACCGCAGTTCCTGCTCCACCCAGGGCCGCTGCTCCCTCCACAGCTGCACCCACAGCGGCTCCAGCTCCCATGGCACACCCCACTCCAGCTGCCACTCCCACAGCAGAGGCTCCTATCAAGCTCACCTGACCCAGGGCGTCTAAAACGCCCTCCGGGGAACTTGTGGCCTCGCCGCCAGCGACAATTCCCACTGAGCCGCCCAAGACCCCTCCTGTCACCGCCCCAAGAGCCACTGCTGTTTTTCCAGAGGCAGCCGCTGCTATGGCCCCAACCGCTTTCCCAACACTGGTACCTCCAGCTACTGACATCCCTGCCAACTGTCCCGCGGCAAATCCAACAGAGTTCCCCACGAGAGACGCCCCTGCTGCCGCCGCCAGAGGAGCAGCCGCCCCAAACATGGCCCCCACAGCCATGCCCGTTGCCCCGGCAGCCACCAGGATCTTCACCCTGTCCAGCACTTTAGCAGACAGAGCGGCTTCCCTCCTCAGGCGGCTCAAGGATGAATGGATAGCCTGTCTCCTCCTGCCCGTACTCTGACTCCTGCCTCTGAACCGGTCTCTGAGGATTCGGAAGGGGTTCCTCCTGCTTTCCTCCGTCCATCTCTCAACCCTAAAATCCTTATCACCTCCGTCCGACTCCAACTCACACTTTCTTCGTTTTGCAACTTTGCTATTGTTCGATCCCTCTGATTCCTCTTCCCCCTCTGCTTGCCCTCGCTCCCTCAACATCCTCTTCTGCTCCTCTGTGATGGCGGACTCTGCCTCTAGAAACACCGCATTGGTATAAAAACCTCCATTGTTCTGCTTCACCATTTCATCCACCTTCCTCACCAGCTCTCTAACCTGTTCTGAGTTATTTGGCTCTCTGTTGTTGAGTACATGGTATCGACCTCCACACCTTTCAATCAGGGCTTTAAGTCCATCAGGTGCAGTCTCCCTGAGGTACTTTTCGATCCCAACCCCATCCAGATCGTCCCCTCTGGTAAACAGAACTACAGTGTGGTTGGAGACCGCATCGGCTCCAAATATGCCACCCAACTGGCACACCGCCTGGTTCTCATTGTCTGTGTAGCGTCCGACTGGGATCACGAGGAGGAATGCGTGTGGACCGGGAGCTGACAGAGACACACATTTGGCTATCTCTGCGTGGGTCTGCTCCACACTCAGGTGAGTGTCACCAAACCCTGGCATATCAACCACCATTATCTTCCTCTTCCTCCTCCGTGGGACAACGTTGCCTTCCTGCTCTCCGTCCTCTTCTTCTGCCATTGAAGCAATGCCCAGCTCGCAGATCTGGGTGACAGAGCTGGCACTGGTCTGTGACAGGAACTGCCTGTGGCCCAGGATGGTGTTTCCAGACGCACTTTTTCCAGACCCGGTCTTTCCGACGAGGACTAGTCGGAGCTCTTCACCCCAGGTACCTTCAACGTCCTCCTCCATTTCACAGATCTCTCTGTTCTTGTTGTCAGGTGGGAATACTGTAACAAGAAAGTAATTTCACTAAATTAGTATTGATTAACATTTCTCATTTAACAACAACTGCCTTGGGTAATATAGAATTTGTGCAGCAATGAAGAACACATCTCCATCTCTCAACCCTAAAGTGCGTTAAGATTTCAGGTGGTGACGAGAATTAGACAATTTTCAGTTCGCTCTGCCTCAAACGGTTACAGGAAACTCAAAAACCCTGATTACAATCAAATCATCATGCATGGTGATCAAAAAAAAAAAAGTGATATTGGGTTAGTTGTTATCATGACCAAGTCATAAAAACAACCGCACTCTTCAGTACTCTCTATCTATTCTGAAAAAATATGTAAAACCACACATACAACATCCAAAGACTATCACACAATTGATACCTGAAACATTCCTTTGTATCTAAAATTAAAACATACCTAATAAGAGAAAAAAATCAAGTTGGTGATTAACATCAGTCCAGAAAAACATTGAATAACCCTAAACAGACCAAGCAATGCTTCCATTGAACAGTTGCTAAAAAGAAACATGTATAAAACATGGCAAAATTACACATGAAACCCTGAACAAAATCATATTTGTCTAAAATACAGAGCTGAACTTAATACAAACCACTTGGCAATAGAAAAAGCCGTTACTGGTTGCTGTGGTAACCACCCAATGTTCAAAGCAACACAGCAAATATAAGTTATTTTCAAAAAAAATTTTTCACTAACCAAATTGAATTTAAAGAATCAGTAAACCAATTTTGACAAGTTTCACATGTATAATGATTTTTAAATTAGCCTGTTATACATGCTGGACACTGATGTCGCTGAAGACGGTTTAAAATGTTTTCAGTGTTGCTTTGCAGTGACTGTTTTCTCATGTAGTGGGGTCATGGTGCCATTGCTCCAAATACAAATAATTCATGACTGCTCATTAATTGCCAGCTTAAAGGGTGGAAATAAATATCTTAATTGATGGTTTTTATCCCCTCACATTATGGTTTAGCAAATGTTTAAAAATCAGTCTGTCCTCCTCTGCTGTGCAGTGAGAGGTTTGACCGACAAGAGCTTTGGCCGTTTGGATGCAGCTCATGTTCCTGGCCAAGCGTGCGATACCTACCGCGGCCACCAGGGCCCCCCCAGAGCAATCTATCTGTTTGCTTTTTATCAATAAAATAATTTCTACATCCATGATCAAATATACATTATTGTAAAAACAAATCAGTTCAGAGTGAAATTGTGTGTTTGATATTACAATGACAGAAATTATTACTAAAAAAA